AAAATTAATCGAAAAATAAAATTTTATAAACAAAAAATTGACTAGAAAAAAATTATATTAATTAATGGAAATTAAAAAATTAATTAATCAAAATTCAATGAAAAATTAAAATTATTTTTTAATTAAAAAAATTTTTTTTTTTAAATGAAATAAAAAACAGAAATTTTATTTATCAATTGTAGGTAATTTTTCAATACTAATTCAGCAATTTAACACAGAATTTTGCTTATTTGAATTGTTTGAATTATTTAGTAATTCATTTATAATTTTAATTATATTAGAAAAATTTTAATTACAATAATTTTATTTATATATCTTTGAAATTGTAATTTATAAAAATTTTATTATAAATATTTTTATTCTTCTACGTGTAATTTTTTATATATATATTCTAATATGTCATAAAAAAAATTTACAAAAGGTTTTAAAATATAATAAACGATTGCTTAGACGGAAATTTGAAGAATAATTTTCATCTCATTAACTATAATATAATTTTTTTTTTGAATAAATTTTGTTTGTGAGGTATAAGGTTACTCAAGAATGTTAACATTTAGGATGCTTCAAGTGCCTAACATTTTCTTTTGCTTATAATGGGTGTATTAATGTTTATAATCAGAATGCTTGTTGCACGCGAAGACATAAATAAGAAATACTTATAAAGAATTTCTTTTAAATTATCCTTTCTAATATTGAAACATTTTATGATAAATCAAAAGAGTTCTTCTTATTTTTCATATATATATATTTTTTTCTTTCCTCAAAATCTATAAACAATTCTCGTAAAAATAATATAATTTATATATTAATATTTAGGAATAGAATATTTAATTACATTAAAAAAAAAATAACTATAAAATATTAAAAATATTTTTTTAAATGATTTAAAATATTAATAAATAATGTTAATAAATAATATTCTTTAAAATTATCTTTTAAAAAATTTTACAAATCCCTTTTTTGGAAGAGATTTTTTAATGGCAGTATAATTTGACACTAATAGGTTTTCTAATTGTTGGGAATTTTTAGATATTATATAAATACCTGCGCATCGTTATGTTAAGTAATTATTAAATTATTATGAAATAATTATTTTTTTATTGAAAATCTAGATTATCTAAAATAGCTCATTAAAGTCATTTATTGCTTTTTTGCTTTACCATTTTTTTTTAGATAAAAATCTTATTCTCTTTAGATCTCATTCTTTGTAATTTACAACTACTTGCTTAATAATAATTTATTCATTTATTATATAACTGCATTTTCTAGGATTTATTTATTAAATTTATTTATTTATTATTAATTTATTATAAATTTATTATTAATTTATTATTAATTTATTATTTTAATTATTTATTAAATTTTATTAATTGAAAATTAGGTTTCTGAATTATTTTTCAATAATTTTGTAATATTTTCTATATTGGTAACTCTGTATCCTTTTTTGTATATATCATCACAAATTATTGAATTTCTATACCCTTTTTTGTAAAAATTTTTTTTTTTTTTTTTAAATATTAATTTATTATAATGTTTGCAATAAATTTCTTTATTTCCTAATAACTGAAAGATCATCATCTGTCAATCATTATGATTATACGCTCCCTTATAATTTTTGTTACAAGTCAAAACAGTAAATTATTGCATCGTTATGCGCTTCTAATGATCTTTAAACCATCAGATGAGCTTCTTCTTTTTCTTAAAAGAGTTGCTTCACGTATTGTATATATATATGTATATATATAAATGTGTGGAAAAATCATGAAAAACTATTAAGTGAAGGGGAGAGTATTGAAAATGTTTTACATTCATTCTTGTCCAATATATACAATAATTGCAACCAATATTATATTTAAAAAATTTTTATATATTTAAAAAAAGAAGTTCTAAAAATTCTTTTTTTTACAATTTTTTAATGCAAAATAGAAAAATCAATTATTACGAGAAATTGTTGAATGAAAAAGTAAACGCAACTTTATATTTAAATATTTTTTGTATTATTTTAATTTTAATATTTATATTGTTAATTGAACCGATCAGTATAATTACGTTTAAGGAGAAGAAAAAGAAGAAGAAGAAACAAATAAAAAAAGAAGAAGAAGAAGAAGCGAAAGGAGAGGGTTTTATCTGACCTTGTGGACCGGACAGCATCCATGAAATGTATCAAGTACATTAAGTACTATGCGTAAAAATCTTTAAGATTATCTTAGATAATCTGCATATGGGGCAGAAACATTTTTGTTTCAATAAAAATTTCAACGTTAAATTGCTCTGTCTTGTACATGTTAAAGGTATATAATTTTTTTAACTGGGAAACATTTCAAGGACAATCAACTTCCACAAATTCAGAGATACAACATCTGCTTCCATTCGATTAATTAAATAAAGAGAGAGAGAGAAAATTTGAAAGCAAATTTATAAATATAAAAATGAATAATTAATAATTAATAATTAATAATATAAATAAAATAAATAAAAATTTGAATTTCCAATTTCAAAAATCCGAAACACTTTTTGAACTTCTAAAAATTTTAATCTCAATTTTGAAATTACATACTTTCGAATTATGTCTGAAATTGTATTCTCCGAATTAACATTTACCATTCAGCATGTACAAAATTTCATACTCGTTTAAAAAAAAATTTAATTTATATGTTTTCGCTAAACATAATTTTTATGTGTCCTTATAAATGTCTATAATGTTATACTTCGAAATCATTGACTAAAAATAATCCCATATAAATGATGCAGAATAAGTATATCTCAAATGTCTATAAATATATAAATGTGTGTTATTTGCATTTACATTAAACTGTAAATGGAATTTATTAGACAGTAAAAGGTGGGGTGTTTTTTTTTTTTTTATTTTATACACAAGGAGGACAAGTGAAGCACTATAAATACGAAACTTATGGGTTTGATTATATTATATTATGCAATACGAAAGCGGTTTACATGACGATGAGATAGAAGAGTATAAAAGATGTAAAAGGTGGTAAGTGGATATATACCGTCGAACTGTGGCAATGTCATCGAACTTGCATAATGACTATATTCAATTCAATTACGCAGATGAGCGTAAAATTTATACAATAAACATCCTACACGTGCGTCTCCCGAGTTTTATATATTAAAAAAAAAAAAATTAATTCAATTAAAAATTAAATTAATTTTAATTCAAATTTTTAACTGAATTAATTTTAATTCAAATTTTTAACATTTTAACTGAATTAATTTTAATTACAATTTTTAATTAAATTAATTTTAATTCAAATTTTTAACTGAACTAATTTTAATTCAAATTTTTAACATTTTAACTGAATTAATTTTAATTTCAATTTTTAATTAAATTAATTTTAATACAAATTTTTAACTGAATTAATTTTAATTCCAATTTTTAATTCAAATTTTTAACATTTTAACTGAATTAATTTTAATTTCAATTTTTAATTCAAATTTTTAATATTTTAACTGAATTAATTTTAATTCAAATTTTTAATTCAATATTTTAATATTTTAACTGAATTAATTTTTAATTCCAATTTTGTATACAATTAATTTTAATTCCAATTTTTAACTGAATTTATTTTAATTACGCAGATGAGCGTAAAATTTATAAAATAAACATCCTACATGTACGTCTCCCGAGTTTTATATTAAAAAAAAAAATTAATTCAATTAAAAATTAAATTAATTTTAATTCAAATTTTTAACATTTTAACTGAATTAATTTTAATTACAATTTTTAATTAAATTAATTTTAATTCAAATTTTTAATTCAATATTTTTATATTTTAACTGAATTAATTTTTAATTCCAATTTTTTATTAAATTAATTTTAATTCCAATTTTTAACTAAATTAATTTTAATTTCAATTTTTTTTCATCTTTATTTCATTTTTTTATAAAGTTTAATCACATCGATGAAGTTTACAATAATTTTATAAAGAATAATTATAGAAATTAAAATAATATATTCCCCCCCCCCCCGCCACGAGGAAAATAATTAATTTTTTTGCCAAACAAAATTTTCCTTTTTAAAATTTGTTAATCGCAAAAAAGGTTGGAAAAAATTTTTTCCAACAAAAAATTATAATAATTTGTATATAGAAAAATATTTTTTTTTCTTCCTTATTAAAATTAGTTAATCGGAAAAAGTTTTTGCAAAAAAAATTTTCCGACAAAAAATTATAATAAATTTTGTACAGAAAACTATTTTTTTTCTTCTATAGGTTACACGGAAAATTAAAAGGCATTAAAATAAGCTGCAACGCTTCTTTTTTTAATGCCTTTTAATTTTCTGTGTAATGATATACTTGAAAAAATTTTCAATTGCAAAAAGTATTTTTTTTTGCGACAAAAAAATTATAATAATTTGTAGAAAAATATTTTTTCTAAAATCATCGATGAAAAAAAAATAACAAAAAATTTTTTTTTTTCCACCGACTATATTTATTTTTGGGATAAAAATTTAATTATCTAAAACTTTTTTTTGCGAAAGATGAAAAAATGACCTTTTCTAAAATTATTCTCGATTAAAATAAAATGTGAATTTCTCAATATAAACTCCTACGCGTGAATAACATTATACATTTTCTCGATGAATAATTTAATGTTTAGGGTCTCACGAAATTAACGCCTTTGAATATTTTATATATACAAATAGTAAATTAAAATCTGATAAATGTATACAATTGAATTGTCTTTCTTGTATTTCCAATTCCTTCTATATATTGGGGAATTCGATTTTTTTTTTCCAATTGAATGAATTCTAAGATTTTTTTTCAAGATATTAAGATTATATATATATAGACAAACGATGTGGAAATTAATTGGTGCAAATAGTTTGCTCATCAGGAAAAAAAGAAAGAGAGAGAGAGAGAGAGATGGTATTTTTTTAGAAGGCACCCACGTGGAATTGTGGGAAGCGCGACAGGTGAGAGGTGGAAAGCAAAAGAAAGGTAAGGATCCCATCCCTTCCCATTATAATGTGCGAAGATGTTATACATGGAAGAAGAAGAAGAGTCAAAGAGATTCGAGTCGTCTCACAGTGCATCGTTTGCTTCTTAGTGGGCGGATGATCGTCTCGAAAAAAAAAAAACCTGATGTAATGTTACAACATGTGGTTAGCCCTGCGCGCATCGTGTAAGTGTTCACGTATCACTTCTTTTTTTTTGTGTTTTAAAGTGTACAAATATTTTTTTATTATTCAAAAAAAAAATATATATATATTTTCACAAATAATAATTTTATGAGAGAAAAAAAAAGAAAAGTGTTTATAAATATAATAATTACTCGAAGGTGAGTCACAATATATCAATGAAAGATTAGACTCGTCATTTATTTTATGCGCAAAATTTTTTTTCTATCATTTTATAATTAAAAGAGAGTGATTGCGCCGAATTTTAAAAATAAATATTAAATAAAATTTTATAATTAAACTTTTGGTTTTTTTTTATATATATTTTTGATATAAATATTAATTAATATATGTTAATAATTATAATTATAATAATTAATTATATAATAATATAATATAATAATAAAATAATATAATCATTCAAAATTAATCATTTTTGTTATTAAGATTATTTGGGAAAAATTTAAGACCTTTTAATATTAACATTTTTTTATTAATAACTAAAAATTGTAACTTTATAAATGTTTAAAAATATTGTAAATAAATAAAATGATATTAAAAATAATTATATTATAATTGTAAATGATTATAATTATTATAATTATTATTATTTTTATTTATATAAAAAATTTGTTAACATATATTAATAATTTTTATTTTTTCTGTTTACTAGTATTTTTTGTACAAATATATTTTTTGCCCTAAAAATAAATAAGAAACAAAATTATAATAACAAAAAAGAATTTTAAATAGTAAAATAAAAAATATAAATATTTTACAATAGATTTATAAATTTAAAATTCGAAAATACAATTTTAATTTTAATTTTTATTAATATTATTATTATTATTATTATTATTAAAATATGTTTTATTTACTAAAATTAAGGTCAATTTCAAAAAACTTGACAATGAAAAATGTTTATTTAGAAAACAATTGTGGCAAAAAATTGGCAATTAAAAGAGGACATGAATTTTTGTATAGTTGATATATACGCAATTAAAACCGGAAGAAAAGTGAATGTGCATTGTTTTCCACAAAAGTGTTTAAAAAAGTTGATAATGTTAATTGTTTGAATATCAGATTGCAGATAGAATTGATATAATTGAATTGTAATATACCGATCTATGTATATAGTGACATTTCCTACATCCGTTAACAATTTATCTATAGTTTATACTTTGTGAATATTCATCATACTGATGAATAAAACACTGATGGGAAAAATTGTCATTGATAAAATAATGCAAAAAAAAAAAAATTACTCTATTTTTTTTTGGCGAATTTTTCATATAACTTTCTCTTATATAAAAATATTTTTAAAAAAATTAATAATTAATTTTAATTCCAATTTTTAATTAAATTAATTTTAATTCAAATTTTTAATTAAAGTAATTTTAATTCAAATTTTTAATTCAAATTTTTAACATTTTAACTGAATTAATTTTTAATTCCAATTTTTTTATTATATTAATTTTAATTCCAATTTTTAACTGAACTAATTTTAATTCAAATTTTTAACATTTTAACTGAATTAATTTTTAATTCCAATTTTTTTATTAAATTAATTTTAATTCCAATTTTTACCTCAATTAATTTATTCTAAATTAAAATTCCGAATTACTTTTTATCTAAATATCAAAGTAAATATTAAATTAATTTTTTTATTTTCAAATTTTTTTTCTAAATTTTGATTCATACTAAATGAGCTTAATTAGAGAAAATTAATTAAAAAAATCATTTAATTTTTAAACGCTTTATATAATAAAAATATTTAATAATTTTTTTTATTTTTTGGTTTCCTAAATCCGCATTTTTTTTACTATTTGTTATTAGAATTTGCTACTTTGTTTAACATTTTTTTCTAAAAAAAAATAAGCCAACCATTATCGTATATAATGAAGTCTTCCTTCATCTGGAGATTGATTGCTGACAGTATAACGAATACTTGTTACTAACAAATCACAAAACTTAATCGTCTATAGACAATTTGAAAAGTTCAGCCACGCTCAATTTCACGTGCCATTCTCTAAAGTATTATATATATATATAATAAACTTTTAGTCTATACCTATATGAAGGAAGTACTTAATACGTTCACTTTGTTCTCTTTTATAGCAATACGAATGAGAATATTCGTAACAATGAAGATTCTCTTACGGGAAAACATTTAGTTAAAATTGTGAAGAAAAAATAAAAATGAGAAAAAAAAATTTTTACTGTCGAGAAATTGAATTTAAAAAAAAAAATCAATTATACCGTTTTCTAAAATAATGCTACCTCGTTAAAATAAATAATCATGTTAACAATTACAAATTTTTTTTTCACTTTTATTGACAATAAATATTGCTGTAAAAAATACACTTTTTTTCCTTTTTCTTTCATTTAAGAAAAAGGGGGAAATTTTTTTTTTGAATTAAATTTAACTGAACTGTAATTAATTGAAATTTAGTTTGAAATAAATTTAAATTCTAATATTTTTATATTGTTCTATCTTGATTTGAAAAAAAATAATTTTATCTATGTAATTTTAATCAAATTTAAATACAATTTTTTATCACGAAGCTCTGAAGTACTCAACGTTTATGATAAATGATTTTTAAAGAAATAATTTTTTAAAATGAAAAATTCTATAATTTTTTGCTTAAAAAATATTTTTTTATAATTTGTTAATTAATGAAAACTATAAGAAATATTTTTTAGACGAAAAATTATAGAATTTTTCATTTTAAAAAATTATTTCTTTAAAAATTGTTTATCATAAACGTTGCGTACTTCAGCTTCATTTTTTATCAAGGAAATAATTCTTTAATAATAAATCAGATAAATGAGTTTAAAATATAGAATAATAAAATAATAATAATAATAATAATAATAATAAAAATAATAATTGAAGAAGGAACTCGTCGAATTTTAATTTATTATATGCGATGCACCTGGTTGCAAAAGATGATCGGTTTTGATAAAGTATTTGCGGGTAAAAGAAGGAACTAATGAAGGCCATTACGACGACGAGGAAAATTAATATTTATACTTTCTTGTTGAACTATCATTCACGCAAAAGTTATTGTATTCGCGGGCAATATTGCGGTATAAAATGATATTTGAAGACCGATTATCATTATTTCTCGCACTCTGGCGAAAGTGAAGATTGCGAAAGTTTTTTTATTTTGTGTCAATTTATTATTTTTTTTTTTTCACGAATTCTGCATAGATATGACACGCCTATTATTTGCTTTGTATAAATGAAAATCTTTCATTCTTGTATAATATAATTGAAAAAGAAAAATAATTTTTTTTTTGGGGGGGGGGGGGGGGAATTTACTTTTTTTAAATTGGGAAAAAAAAATAAGTAAATGAGATAAAGAAATAAAATAATAAACAAAAGAATCAATAAAATAGAAAAATTTAAATTAAAATAAAATAAAATAGTAAAATATAAATTAAAATAAAATAAAATAGTAAAATATAAATTAAAATAAAATAAAATAGTAAAATATAAATTAAAATATAATAAAATAGTAAAATATAAATTAAAATAAAATAAAATAGTAAAATATAAATTAAAATAAAATAGAAAAATACAATAAAAAAAATATAGTAAAAGAAGAAAAAAAAATTAAATAAGAAAAATAATTTTTTCCAAATCGCAGATCTAGTAGCAGTGGTTTTATGCAATATTCAAGATAGTTTAGAAGATGAAAATACAAAGAGAAGTTTCCTTACTCGAAGAGCCATTGATGGAAGCAGAGGAAGGTACGAAAATGAAATAAGCAATTAATTAATCTTAATTGGCGGAAATTTTTTTCTTTCCTCAAAAAAAAATCCCTATTTTACAATATAATTGCCTATATCTCGAAAATATATTTATGATTTAAGGAAATACTATGATGCTAAGGATGATGGCTTCTTCGAGGATTATGGTTTCGACAGAGGTCATTATAATGCTCGAGATAGATCCGGTAAGTTCATTTTCAACAAGAATATATTAAAACACCATATAGAAAAAAAAAATTAATTTTTCTTTTTATTCTAATAATAAATGAAGCAAGAGATTGTAATATTCGATATAAAAAAAAAACTTCACGAGATATAAATAAATTTTTCTAATAAAAAAAAAAAAAAAGGAATAAAATAGAGTCGTAGTTAAAAAAAAGAAAATTTTTCTAATAGAAAGAAAATTAATTGTCTGGAAGATGATATTGAGTCATTATAATTCGATCAGCAAAATGTGAAATGTGCTTTTCTTCATGACATAATGCACTTGCATTGAATGCAATTAAGACGAGAAATGAGGTTGAGTACAAGGTCAACTGCAAATTTATTACCTTAGTGCGTGGCACAAGACTCATAAATTTATCATATATACCGGATTTTAAACATTTTTTACCGTTAAAATTTTTTTTTTCAAAAATTAACACTTTAATTAATTGATATAATTAATTTAAATTTTTTAATTAATCAATTAATATTAAGTTAACAGATTAAATGGTAAAAAAAAATTATTAACGTTTTTTAACCGTTACAAAAAATTAATAGAATTAAATTAAAGTTAATTTAATTATTATTCATTAATTAATAAATATATTATTAATAAAAAAAAACCGTTTCATTGAATTTTAATATCACATTGAATAATTGAAACAATTTTCGTAATTATTATATTTCATAATAATTGTTTCATTCTTGAATGAACATTTTTTAAAAAAGTATCTAACCACCGACAATAAAAAAATTTTACAGAATAGTTAATTTCGTCTATTGTTTCTTTAATTTATTTAAATAGAAAATGGTGCAATAATTTTTTTTTGGTCATTGTTTGCAAATTTTATATATACATTTATTCACCAAACAATAATCACACTTGCCAAATATTTTATACGCTTTTGTTTTAAACTATCGAAATAGAAATTTCTTTATCTTTTTTGTAAAAAAAAAAAATTTACTCTATTATTTTTTGGTACTAATTTATCTTTCAATTTTATTAATAAACTTGAATATTTCGAAAATCGTAAATAAAACTCATATCACATTAAGCAAATATTTTTTTTAATGATCTAAATTATTATTGGTAAAAAAAAACTATCTTCATGACAAAAATATTTCTTTTGTTTTTTGTACTCAATTCTATTTTTCACACTAAATAATTTCTATATAAACGAGATTTAAAAAAAAATTAGACAATTTTAAAAAATTATTTTAAAAAATTATTTTAAAAAAATTAATTTTTAATTTCTAAAGCCTAATTAAAATTTAATATTTTTAAATTAGTATTTTATTTTTATAAGCAAAAATTATTTTAAAAAATTATTTTAAAAAAATTAACTTTTAATTTCTAAAGCCTAATTAAAATTTACTATTTTTAAATTAGTATTTTATTTTTTAAAGAAAAAAAATTTTGTTTTCAATGCTAAATTGGTAGTAAAAAAAAAAAAAATAATTGAATAATTTTTTTTTTTCAGGCTCATCGGACATTAGAAGCAGCGTTCCAGGTGAGCCGGGAGTAGATTATCCAGCATATGAGAGACTACCTCAGACAAGTTTTACTTGTGAAGGACGTGACCGAGGTAAGTCAATCATTATACTTTGACCTTCTCTCTCTTTCTTTTTCTCTATACACACATTTCTCTATGTGTCAAAACATTAATTTTTATTTCTATTCATTATCGAAATATAATATATAATTTACTGGCTATACAAAAAATAAAATCAAAAGTGACAAAAAAAAAAGCTTAACTATAATTTTGTCCTTTATAGATTAACATTAAGATCCCCCATCAATTCGTATATAATTCCAAAAAAGAAATTTATATTTTCTTCCTGGCGAAAAAATAAGGTATTATTTATAATCCCACGAAATAGTATGAAATAATAATAATACAAAACTTATATAATTCCCTCGCAAATTTATCGTTATAAACTTATTCAATTCCCTGGAAATATATTCTTATTTTATAAGAAAAAAAAAGGGGGAAGCAGAAAAAAGAGAAATAAGAAATGTAATAATAAAATAAAAACTTAAAATTTCCGTTACAATATTAAATTATCAATTTCGATCTATTATTATATTATTAAATTTCTTACAGAAAGGTAGGTATATTTTTATGATAATTTCCTTTAATTTACTCACACCCTCGCCTGAAATATCATATATAATAGTTCATAAAATAGTAATATTTATTCATTATTAGTTATTAAAAAAAAAATCATAATAATGGTCACACTTAAATATTGCGACAAGCGTTTTAATTTTTCTCAAGTCTATATATATATTTTGTAACAATTTTGATCAGACTTTTCTTATTTCTCTTGAAAAAAAAAGCTATTAAAAAATTTATGACGAAATTGCTAACAATTTTGCCACAGGATGAAAAAATAGTAGAAAAAAAAAATTACTCAAAAAGTTGAAATAAAAAAAAAAAAAAAAAAAGTAAATTCAACAATACTTGAACCATAGTGAGGGTAATAATTTTTTTCTCACATTTGACAAAAAAAATGGGTTCAAACGTATATTTAAAATTTTAATATTTTAGTCACCTTTTGGCATCGAGGTCAAGGATGTAACAAAACAACTTTCCTGACACGGAGGATGGAATCTGCTGTTAGCATTTTCTTTATACACTTTCGCAATAGGTCAGAGCGTTAGCAGAAGCGCTTTGATTCCAACCTTCTGTGTTCTGTTATAAAAGAGATCCCCCCTCCCCCCCGTAAAAAAGGCAATGCCTTGTTTTATGTCTTCCAATTCCAATCCTTAGGCGACCAATAGACATATTTTTTTTTTATATATATATTTTTTTTAAACTCTGTCGCCTTAAAGTCAAGGTAATATGGCCTATTAAGATATAAAAGATATTCAATTCTAAATGTAAAGCTCGATTTTAAAAAGGGCGATATGCCATTTGATATACATATAGGTTACTTCGGAATATATATATATAAATTATAAAATAAAAGGCGCGGTAATTCAAAGATAATTATCTCAATAAGACACCTTATTTTTTTAAAATTTCATACAAATTTATTAGTTTTATATTTCAAAAAAATTCAAACCAAATTTTGAATTTGAATTAAATAAAATTTGACGACAAATAAAATTTTTACTTCAACCAAAATATAAATTATTTTCGAATCAAAATTCATTCGAATTAAAATTTAATTGAAACAAATATTCATTTACAGCTCAGAGATAAATAAATATTTTTTTTTCTCCAAATGATTAAATATAATTGATTTTTAATTCTTCAATAACAATGACAATAAGAAAAATCGATAATTAATTTATAATTTTAAAACTATTTTTTCTCAATTAAATTAATTACATAAATAATAATAATAATAATTGCAAAATTATTTTTCGTGTTACAAACAGAATATAAAATGCAAAATCATTCTTTGTAGAAATTCAATATATATATATGAAAGAAGTTTTATATGCTAATTCGAAGAAGGATAAAAAAATAATGTACATTGACAAATGGAAATTTCTGTATTATGCAATACAATTATTGTTTATTTGATTATAATTAATTGCACACTATACAAAAAAAAATTTTTTTCGTTAAATAACATCGAATAACCTTGAGAGAAAAAAAAATTAATAGATTTATTTTTTATTTCAAAGAAGAATTATAATAAAATTTGCAATAAAATGATAATAAAAATTCGAATAAATATAAAAAAAAAGAACAAAACAAAAATAAATAAAAATGATTAAATTCTCCAATTTATTGCGTTATTTTTGACATTTGCCAAAAAGTATAAAGAAATAAAAAAAAAAAAGTTACATAATTTACAGACTCGACTTTTAGTAAATTTTTTGTATTTGCGCAAATAAAATATAATCAAATTTTATATATAAAAATAAAGAGATAAATTTTTTTTATTTCTGTCAACTATAAAATATTTATTTTTGCCAAACAAAAATTTCTTATTTTTGAAACTAAAAATAGTTATTGAGACAAAATATATATTTTTATTTCAATATATTTTTAATTATAAATATATTTTTTTAATATACTTTTATTTGAATATATTTTTATCTAATTCAAATATTATATTTGGTTTGAATACAACAAAAAAAATATTTATTTATACAAAAATTAAGAGGGAAAAGATTATGAATTCATCATGTATATGAAGGTAAATTCTCACGCGTTTCACAAAAGGTGATAATGAGCTTCATCGACACTTGACACTCGGTAATAAAGTTGTTGCATTTCTATAATTCGTTGCATAAGAATTATAAGCAAGAATGAGGTTCGTTTATTATGACTTTTAATTTGCGACTAAAACAAATTCGTCAAGTATATACGATCAATCATAGATTTAATGAAACCAAACGATATCATATACGATGAGAAAATATCATCATTTAGAAGAATCGGAAAACAAGTTTTGTGATCACGCCAACGACCTATAGGAACTATCATATATATATATAGCTTTTAACACATTCACCTTCCCTCGAACCTTTATTTATCCTTTTATTTTATTTCTGATATTATATATTTATTTTTAAAAAAAATCTCTACAATTGTTATTTTTATATTATATGACCATATGTCATACAAAGGTTCAATATAATTCCTCATTATTCTATAACGAATCAGGGGTAAAATTTTAAAAAGGTTATGAAAAAACCTTTTTAACGAAGGTAGATGAGAAAAATAAATAATCGCAAAAGGCACGTCATGTGATTTATAAAAAATTATCTTGAAAGGATAATATTAACATAAATATTTTACTATGATCAATTTATAATATAATTATTATCTTTTAGCTTGTCAACTTTTTCCGACTTTTTTCAAAAATACGACTTTTATCGACTTATTTTAATAAAATGCGACTTTTTTTTTTACATTTGAAAAGAAAATGTAAATAAAATACATTTTTTTAGTATAAAATGTAGATCTTCTTTAGATCTTCTTCAGATCTTCTTCAGATCTTCTTCAGATCTTCTTCAGATCTTCTTCAATTCAATTATTTAACAAATTTTGAACTAAAATGATTCTTCACTAAATTAATTATTTTTAATAATTTTAATGAAATACATCACAAATTCAATTATATCAAAATTATTTTTCAATTAAAATTTTTATGAAATTTAACAATTGTTTATAATTTTTAAAAAAAATATCACAATAAAATTGAATTATTTTTTAAAAATTTCAATTCAAAATAAATTAAAATTCAATTATTACCCGAAATTTTAATTCAAAATCAATAATAAATCCAATAATTATCCACAATTTTCAATTTAAAATTTAATTATTTACCAAGTTTTCAATTTAAAATGAAATAAAATTCAATTATTTTCTAAAATTTCTATTCAAAATTAATTATCCAAATTTTCAATCAAAAATGAACTTAAATTAAATTGTTATCCAAAATTTCATTTAAAATTCAATTATTTCCCAAAATTTTCAATTCAAAATGAACTGAAATTCAATTATTTTTCAAAATCAAATAAAATTTCATTTTTTTCAAAAATTTGAATTCAAAATTAATTGAATTTTTAATAATTTGAATTTAAAAGCATCTAAAATTTAATTATTTCTAAAATTTTCCATCGAAATTTTTTTTTTTTTGAAATTTAATAATTTCAATTATAACTCTAAGGAAATTCAATTATTTTTAACTATTTTAATAATATTCTTTGAAAATTCAACTATCTGAAACCATTTTTCAATTAAAAATGATTTTCAAATTATTGTATTTTGTCCGCATTTTCTAATAAATTTTTAGTGAAATCATCTAAAATTTTAATTAAAAATCACTTAAAGTTTCAATTAATTTCAAAAATCTCAATTTTAAATCTTTGAAAATACAATTAAATTTAAAAAATGTTTTCCAAAAATTGTTTTGATAAATTATTTTTAGTTCTGTAAAATTTAATAATTGTTTGAAAATTAACAATATCTTTTGAAATTTAATTATTTCTAAAAATTTTAACTTTAACCCTTCGAAAAGGATTATTATTAAAAAAAAAAAAATTTTTTATTTAAAAATCTGTAAAATATTTTTGTTAAAATAAAAAACAAATCCACTTTTTTTTGGAATATAAATCGACTAAAATGACTTTTTTGTGTCTTTAAGTTGATTCGAGGCCTGTGTTTTTATAATTAATATTTAATAGGTTGGCCTCTGGTACCTTAAAAATTAAGGGGAGGCACCACCCCCAATTTTGACCCACTTAAATTTAAATTATTAAATGAGGTTATATTTTTTTTCTTACATCATTTGGGTCCTAAAAACATATAAGGTGGTCAAAAAAAAGAAAATTTTAATTTTTGACCATTTTAGAATTTTTATTTTTTGAAAAAATTAATATTTTTGAAAATCCATGCGAGAGATTCTGACAAATCATTAAAAAAGTGTGGAAAAAATTTGACGATGAAAAATACTTAAAATTGTGAAAGAAGATACATATTTAATAGGAGAGTGCAATGATGTTTTAATTTATATTTTTCGCTCTTTTTTTGAAAAAATTAAAATTTTTGAAAATCCATGCAAGAGATTCTTAAGAATCATTAAAAAAAGCGTGGAAAAAAATTGGCGATGAAAAATAGTCAAAATTGTAAAAAAAGATATAGATATTTAAAATATTAATTTTTTTAAGACTTTAATTTCTAAAATGGTCATAAATTAAAATTTCATTTTTTGGACCATCCTGTATGTTTTTAAGACCCAAATGATGCAAGAAAAAAAATAGAACCTCATTTAATAATGTAAATTAAAGTGGGTCAAAATTGGGGGTGATGCCTCCCCTTAATTTTTAAAAATAAATAATAAATAATAAATATAAATAAATATAAATAAATAAATAATAAAATAAATAAAGCCCAACTTCAAGTTAGGACAGAAGGACAGACCAAGCATTTTATTATTATATAATTATATAGAAATTGAACTATCAAGAACATTTTTTCTATAATAAAGAATTATAAAATATTTTTTTGTTTTTTTTTTTATTTACAGGTTACTATGCCGACGATGAGGCTGGTTGTCAATTGTTTCATGTATGTGACAATATTCTCGTATCATCATTCCTCTGTCCAGTTGGATCACTTTTTAGTCAAAAGCTTCAAACATGCGACTGGTGGAATAAAGTTGATTGTTCAACAACAAGAAAATTTTATACAATAAATCGCAATTATTATGATCAATCGGATGGCGATGAAATGATACGAAAGGCCTATGTAATGATACATCTTCAACCAGATGAGGGACTCATAACTGAACCTGAAGAACGTGCACAACAAGGAAAAATCACTCACTATCCAAGAGTTGATGCACCGGAAAATGATTTACCAACAAATTATGATGATTCTGAAAATCCATCATCATCATTTCACGACTATTCAAAACAATTTAAATCAAATCAAGAAATTGATCACGATGATAGTTACAATGATCACATTCTCTATTCACATGAATATCAAAATCCAAAGATCTATCCAAATTCTCTATTGAGAATTCATAAAAATAATGATGAAACAGAATTTAGAAATCGTCATTCACAAAAGGGGAATTCATATCGATTTAATGAATTTGTTAGTGATGAATATCAACCGTCTTATGCGCCAACTGTTCCAACTGTAACTACCACAAGTCGACGATTTTATTCTCCAACTGTGCCAATGAGTTATAGATCATCAACACTCGCCTATGATAAATTTGATCAAAATTTAGATAGTTCAATTCATCTCTATGAACATGGGAGAAATTCTCTTTCAACAACAACTCCAGCTACTCCATTTCGTTTTAAGAATTCAACTCGTGGTTTTCTCAAATATTCATCTTCAAATGAAAAAGAAGAAAACATTCATGAAAAAGATCAATTTTACGATGACAATGATGATAATGATGATGAGAAATTTGAAATTATGGAAGGTAGAGAAAGTATAGGATTGGTGAGATCATCATCGGAACGATTGGAAGAAGAAACTGTAACGCAATCATTAATTGGTGATAATTCATTTGAAAATTCAACGAAAAATTTACACGAATTTGCAAATTCCAAACAGACAAATAAGAGTCATTCCAATTTCAGTGAAGAGGACAGAGAATTTGATTATGAATCAAGAACAGAGGACAAATATGATGATTATGAATCTAATGATGATGAATTGATAAATTCCAACATTAATTCCACTGTTTCTAATAATTCCGCTAATGATGATTCAGTGCAAGGGAACGATGATGAATTATCATTGAAAGAAGGTGATGATCTTTTAGAAAAAGTTGAAGATTCTAAAGAAATTGAAAATCATTCAAAAGAACAAGATAATCTGAAGAATCATCGAGATTATTCCAAGGAACATCGAGATTATTTCAAGGATCATCAAGATTATCCAAAAGATCATCAGGATTATTCCAAGGATCATCAAAATTATTCCAAGGAACATCGAGATTACTCCAAGGATTATCAAGATTACCAAAAAGATCATCAGGATTATTCCAAGGATCATCAAGATTATTCCAAGGATCATCAAGATTATTCCAAGAATCATCAAGATTATCCAAAAGATCAAAAAAATCATCAAGATTATTCAAAGGAAGAACAAAATTATCCAAAAAATGATCAACATAATTCAAAAGAAATATCAACAACTTCTGATCCAATTTTCAATCTTGCCCCTCAATTATTCAACTCGGAGGAAAAAATAATTCCCGAATTGTCTTCAGTTTTACAACCACCTCTGGTTCCCTATCAATCATTTCGTTCTTTAGATTCTGATCAAATTCCCCCGCCAATGGCAATAAATAGACCACCACTACCATATCAACATTATTCAAATAATCAATCTAATTTAACGGAAAATTTACAATCTAAAAATGCCAGCAATATATTTTTTGAAAATCACGATAATGTAGAAAAAAATAATTCAGAAAATTTCCAAAATAAAAATAATATAAATTCACCTACAGATGGAAATTTTTCCAACAATGATAGGGAAAATAATTCATCAAGTAACAATGATTCATTTATAAATAGTGAGGAACAAATTTTGAGAAAATATAATGAAAATCTTGATTTTACAATAAGATCATCAATTTGGAATCATCGTGATTCGTTGGCTAAGGAAAAATTTGAGAATCCACTTTTGAATCATAGAACAATTGCCCTGGATTTAGAACCACCTAATGAGGATTTATTATTAAATTTCGATTCTCAAACTTCTTCACCTACAACAATTCAAGATTCCACTAAATATGAGTCAATTTCCGAAAATCAACCAATAGAAAATAATTTTGAAGCCAGTAGTATTTTACAACCAGATTTTGTATCACCTGAAATAATTAAAAACAATGCTCCATATCAAGTAACATTGCCAATAAAAGATGAATCAAATACAGAGATAGTTTACAATTTAAACGAAAAAAATAAATTTGATGAAAATTTTCAAATTGAAAATTCTAAAGAATCCGAAATTTCCGATGAATCATCAAAAGATACATCATTAATTTCTCATCGCGATGATTATCAATTGAAATTAATTCAAAAGGAAGAGGAAAATTTGGAAATACACAATAGAACGGGTAAAAGTGCAGAAATTGAAAATGATCAACGACAAATGAGAATTCTACAATTAATGTCCGAATTGGCTAAAACTAATCGATTGCCAAGACCATTTTCCACTCAAATTGAAAAAAATAATAATCAAACGAAATTATCATCAATTAATGAATCTTCTTTTCTTCGTAAGGAACAAATACTCGAACAATTGACAAAGAGTTTTGGTGAGCCAATTTATGGTAATCAAAGAGATGAAAATGAATCATTATTTCAATTACCGTATGTAAATAGATTCACGGAATTTAGAACTGGAAAATCAATTATTCCCGAAGAGGATTCGACTTTGGGTACAAAAAATGAGGAAGGGAATGAAGAAGAAGAAGAAAAAGAAGAAAGAAAAAGAGAAAAATTAGAAAAAGATGAAAAAGATGAAGTAGAAGAAGTAGAAAATCAAGAAGAAGAAGAAGAAGAAACAGAAGAAGTAGAAAATGGAGAAGAAAAAGAAGAAGTAGAAAATGAAGAAGAAGGAGTAAAAGAAGAAAAAGTAGATACGAAAAAAGAAGAAAATAGTGAAAAAATAAAGAAAACAGTGGTAGAGATGGAGTTTCTACCATCATTAGGTTTTTCCTTCGACACTCACGAGGGAAGAGAGGAATATGCTCAAGCAATTCTTCATGGTTTAGTAACTGAGGGGGCTATAGTTAAATCTAATGATAAATTTTCATCGAGAAAATTAACTTTCGACAGTACTGAAAGTACCAAAAATATTTGACAAAAAAAAAGTACCTAAGAATTATTATTGCGCGTGATTTTCAGTGTGATTACATATTACATAAAAAAAAAAAATAGAACCTTTATCTGTAATTTGTGTACTGAAAATAAAAATTTTTTTCTAGAAATAAAAAAACTAATATTTATTTATTTATTTCAAAATATAAATTTTTTTTTCATAAAATGCTAATTATTATTAATTAATATAATTCACTATTTCGTTTATTTATTAATAATAATTTTAATTATAATTTACCTATACACAGAAAATTAAAAGGCATTAAAATAAGCTGCAACGCTTATTATTTTAATACATTTTGGTATTAAAATAAGCAAAATTGGATTAAAATAATAAACTTATTTTAATGCCTTTTAATTTTCTGTGTGCTGTTAATTATTATTTTGAAAAAAAATTCATAAAAAATATTTTTAAATATGAAAAAAATCATTAGAATCGAAAAATTTTAAAAAGGGAAAGAAGAAATTGATTAAATAAAATCTGTTTACTTTTCCATGACAACAAGATTTGCCTAGCAACTGTCCCTTTTTCATGTCAGTAGAAAATATAAATTTTAAAAATTTATTTAAAAAAAAAAAGTAATTTCTTTTATCGACATAGTGAATTTTGAATCTACATTTTATAAGTTAATTTGTAATAGAAAATCTATTACAATTATTTATATTAAAAAAAAAAAATCCCTTTGGAGAAACGTTAAAAAAATTAATTTACATCTTATTGTTGTGTTATAGAGGTTAAGAATTTTTTTTAAGAACATAAATTTTTACACAATAGTGCAAAAAAAAATAGTTTTTATATAAAATGGACGAATTAGAAGTCGATTCGGAAATTCTCGATGAAGATTACGAAGGAGAAGAATATGAAGGAGAAATACAAGTTTCAGTTTCTCCTTCATCAACTATGGATTTCAGGTAAAGAGAAGAAAAAATTTGATTAAAATTTTTTTCAAATGTTAATAATAATTTAATTAAAATCCCATATTGCAATGTATATAAATAACACTAGATATTTAATTAAAATTCAGTTAATACTGTTTTTAATATAATAATAAATAAATAATATTTATATATAAAATAATAATAAAAAAAAAATAATTACTAAACTACAATAAATAATAATAATAGATATTACCAATAGTTAATTATAACTCGTTATATAAAAATATATAAACTTTTAATACTTTAAGCAATCTTTAATTAAATATTGTTTTTTTTTTTTATTGTAATTTAGAGTGCTATGGTTTCGAGATAGAGTTTTGAAATTCCTAGGATTAAACGGCATGAATCAACTTTTCAATGATCTTATAACCGTAATTATAAATTTTCATAAAAAATTAATTATATTAAATGTCCGTAAATATAATTTATTATAAATATAAATAAAATAAAAAATTGATTTTAATTTTTTTTATTTCAATAAAAATAATAATAAAAAATTTGTTGATTTTATTGATTTCAAATAATAAAATATATGGATTTTATTATTTTATTTATTTAAAATAAAAAAAAAAGTTTTTTAATTTTTTTTATTTCAATAAAAATAATAATAAAATTTATTGATTTTATTGATTTCAAATAATAAAATATATGGATTTTATTATTTTATTTATTTAAAAAAAAATTAAGTTTTTTAATTTTTTTTTCGTTACGAATTTTTATTTAGAAAAACGAGCGTCAAATTGAAAGGGAACTTCTTGATTTTATAACATTTGACACTTATGGAGTGACAGATTTATCAAAGAAGCAAGTATTTTTTTATAAAACATATCGTAGCGAAACAATACAAGAAGAAGTATCAGTATGGGAAGAAAGTAAGTATTAAATTTATATATACATATCTTGAATAAATGGGTATTATTAAAAAAAAGGAAAAATTTCTTTGTACTCACAATATTGATGACGACCGCAGGTCACCGTAAAATTACAGCCATTGCTGCATTTGCCACAAAAAATAGACCGCAAAGATTAACAAAAAGCGCACCTGGTAACTGTAACAAAATAAAAAATTTGTCCATTAATGCACAATTGTTACGTTATTAAAAAAAATTATATTTTTTATTCACTATTTTTATCTTCTGTTAATCGTTAATTAGAAATTAAATTAAATTTTTAATTTTTTACTTTTTAATTTAATTATCAATTATTATTTAATTATTAATTTTAGTACGTATAAATTATATTAATTTTATCTATTTTTTACGTTAATTATAATTTTGGCACACAAATATATGAAAAAAATGCAAAAAATTAAAAATTACCATTATGAAAAAAAACAAAACAGGAAAAGTGGAGAAACAAGAGGAGAGGAAAAAGGAGAAAAAATTAAAAAAGGGGAAAAAAGTTAAGGGAAAAAAAGAGACAAACGATTTAGTAAGTTCGGCAGTGAGTGCAATAACAGGATCAACAATGACAATGGGAAAATCTTTTCATTCTATTTTAACAGCCAGCGAAAATGGCGAAGAGGATGACTATTTAGAAAATGATGAAAAATATGACGAAGAAGAAGGACGTATCGAAACTCCCATTACGCAGCTTAAAAAAAAATCAAAAACAAAAAGCGATTCGTCATGTAAGGAAATATACTTTATTTTTCTCAATTAGGAGAAATTTTCTATTTATTAATAAAAAAAAAAGAAAAAAAAATTGATATTTATTAATAAAAACTAAAAATAAATTACAGTGGAAACAGTCACTTTCTTGCCTCCACCTGGAGATGAGGACAAATATATACTTATTAAGGTAAGTGTGATAATAAAAACACCGTTTACAAAATATTAAAAAAAAATTGTTTTTTTGAAAAATGTAAAAATTTCTCTCTTTTAAAATATGTTTAATATTTTATTAACAATATATAATTTTAGAAAGTAGTGGACAAAATTGTTGAAGTGCCAGTTATACATATATTTTTTGGCGAAATTGATGATAAACGAGCTGATTTACATGAAATAAATTTAATATATTTTATGAGAACAAATGAAGAAGGAACGCCATTATTTAATAATTTTGAAATATGTTTTGCTGAAATGCCAAGTTATTTTGTCGTTGGATCATTAAATGGACCATTTTTACCAACATTAAATCGCATGCTCACTTATGTAATTATATTTTAAGATTTTTTTCAATTTTCATATTTTTCTTTATCAATACATTTTCAAAAATAATTAATATTTAAGTTAATTTTAATTTACAATTAATTTAAAAGTTATATAATTATTTTTACAAGAAAAAATAATTTAAAAAAAAAAATTTTAATTACAAAAAATTTTGTATTTTCAAAGGTTTTTAAACCCCTGGTCGAAAAACAATTTCGAGGACCCGCAGCAGCACAAAGGCTTCACACACAAGAAATTTACAGCTCATTATCTGGTTCAAATAGTGAAAAATTTACATCCACTTTGCAAACTGTTGCAGCATCCCAGGTTCTCAAAATTAATTTTTTTTATATAATTTCCAATTATTAATGTTTATTTCGCAATTTATTTAATTTACAATTTAATTTAATTACAATATGGTGAATTGTTACTTTATCTCATATATATATATATATATATATATATATATATATATATATATATATATATATATATATATATATATATATATATATATATATATATATATATATAACGTAACACAAATAGTTGCTTCATTGATCAGTTAAAAAAAAAATAATTTTATTCTTAAGTAATTTTGAAACGTGAAAAAAAAAATCATCAAACTGAATAAACATAAACCATTGACAATAAAACAGGCGTCTGCTTTCATGAAGCCTTCCGATTACAGAAGAATCTCATTGGCAGCAATAAAATTGAAAAATAAAATTATTCCCGATTCAGAGGAACAAAAGAACAATGATAGAATCTTGAAACAGGAAATGAATATCAATGGGGAATTAATTAGAAATAAAAAGAGTAAAGATATTTCCTTAAGTCAAAAGCAATCGTCGGATGTTAAAAAATTCGATTCAATGTCATGTAAATCACAAAAATCAACATATTCAACTGTTATTGTTAAAAATGAGGAAATTGACGAAATTCCAATGGAACCTGTTAAAAAAGATTTACTCGATTATTTAAATAAATTAACCGCAAGTGTCGAATGGTTAGTCAATATAAATTATAATTTTTTTGGGGTTTCGTGGCCCAGGGCCAAAAGTCTTATATAGTTTCGCTTTGGCGTCCGTCCGTCCGTCTGTCCGTCGTACATGATAACCGTTTCCATAGCAACAGTTACTAATTATGGCAAAAGTTACTATGGCAAAAGTTACTTTGGCAAAAGTTACTATGGCAACAGTTACTTACTATGGCAACAGTTACTTTGGCAAAAGTTACTAGGGCAAAAGTTACTTTGACAAAAGTTACTAGGGCAACAGTTACTATGGCAACAGTTACTTTAGCAAAAGTTACTAGGGCAAAAGTTACTTTGGCAAAAGTTACTAGGGCAACAGTTACTATGGCAGCAGTTACTTTAGCAAAAGTTACTAGGGCAACAGTTACTATAGCAACAGTTACTTATTATGGCAAAAGTTACTATGGCAACAGTTACTTTGGCAAAAGTTAGTTACTAGGGCAAAAGTTACTTTGACAAAATTTACTAGGGCAACAGTTACTATGGAAAAAGTTACTATGGCAACAGTTACTTTGGCAACAGTTACTTTAGCAAAAGTTACTAGGGCAAAAGTTAGTTACTAGGGCAAAAGTTACTTTGGCAAAAGTTACTATGGCAGCAGTTACTTACTATGGTAAAAGTTACTATGACAAAAGTTAGTTACTAGGGCAAAAGTTACTTTGGCAAAAGTTACTAGGGCAACAGTTACTTTGGCAAAAGTTACTATAGCAACAGTTACTTATTATGGCAAAAGTTACTATGGCAACAGTTACTATGGCAAAAGTTAGTTACTAGGGCAACAGTTACTATGGCAAAAGTTAGTTACTAGGGCAACAGTTACTATGGCAAAAGTTAGTTACTAGGGCAAAAGTTACTATGGCAAAAGTTAGTTACTAGGGCAACAGTTACTTTGGCAAAAGTTACTAGGGCAACAGTTACTATGGCAGCAGTTACTTACTATGGCAAAATTTACTATGACAATAGTTGATTTCTAGAGCAACCGTT